CCCTGAGCTGCTCTCTTCCCTTCCCTCCAGGCCCAGCCCAGGAGTGATGGAGCAAAGCCTCAGCGAGGTGCCAACCACCCCCAGGCCCCCAGCAAAGGGTCTGCAGGGTCCTCCCGTGCTGCCAAGCATCCCCAGGGCCCTGGCAAGGCTGGGGGTGCAGGAGAGGGCAAAAGCAACAGCTCTGAGGGTGCTGGGGCCAAGGGGCCCCAAAAGGCTCCCAGGGCAAAGGGCAAGGGGAAGGCTCCCAAGGGGGCACAGCAGGATGCTCCCAAGGCAAGGGAGGGTCAGGGCCAGGCAAGGAAGCCCAGGGAGATGCCAGGAGCTGGGCAGGGCAAGGCCAAGCTGCAGAAGGCAGCTCCCTCTGCAAAGGGCAAAAAGGCTCCATAGAGTGGGACAGACAGTCCAGCTCAGCTCTGCTTCAGCTGGACCCAGGCCCTTGGGGTCTATGCCGGTTTTAGTCCCCAGAGCAGCTTTTAACTCTGTGTTCATATGCTACTAATAAAGTTATTTCAGTCAGCTCATGGAGTGGCATGATTCCTGCCCTCCTGTGAGCCCCTGTGCTTCCAGTGCCCAAATCCCCCAGCCGTGGCCTCATCCTGCACAGTGCTGAGCTGATGCTGCAGGCAGCTGCCTGCCTGCCCTGGTGGAGAGGTGCTGTGTGTGTCCCCTGGTGTGGTGCTGGGCTCTGGGGTGTGTGTGCAGGATGGTATTGAGCCTGGTGCCAGGTGATGGCCTGGGCAGGGGTCCTGGGACCCCTGGGCCACAGTGTGGTGGCACTGCCAGGCATAGCAAAGGTGAGGCATGGGCCAGTCCTGCTGGTGCTGGGCCATGGTGCCTACACCTCAGTGTGGGGTCTCTGACCCTCTGGGCTGCCCTTGTGCCAGCTCTTGCCTGAGCTGGGATTACAGGACTGCTGGGGTAGCAGGTCTGGGTGCATGGCATGGGCAAGGGTCCTCAGCCCCAGGGGGAGCTGCCTGTACTCTAACCACAGTAAGAGGAAAACAGGTGTTTTAGGGTTGAGAAATTGAGTTTGGGGTGTTTTCTGTAGCATCCAGCATGGTTCAAGCTCTTGTTACCTGCCTGTAGCACAGTTCCCACCTACAGACTTGTCTTGTGAGCTCCTGTGGGTCAGCATTTGAACACTTTCATCTAACAGCTTCAAATGCCTGAATTTCTCTTGCTCTTCCCACAGCAGAGACCTTCTGAAGGTCAGGCTGATCATGTAAAGGGTTACAGTCCTCCTGGGCAGGAGAAAATAAGTGGAAGTAAAACTCTTCCTAAAGAGGATTTCGTTAATCTGTGCTGGCCTTGCCAATGCCCTCCAAGGCTCCTGGCCTTGCTCCGGGGCTTAAGCAAGAGCTGAGCAAACTAACTTCTCTTTAAACTTCAGCCTTGGCTGTGTTGATCCATCTTTAATGGAGCTGGAACTCGTGTCTCCCTGGGGATGGGGCGGGAAGCGAGGCAGCAGTGTCTGAGCAGGGTTCCCTGGGTCCTGCAGTGATGGGGGCTCACAGGGCAGTGTCCCCCAGCAGAGCCAGGCAGGGGCTGTGTCCTCCCTCCCCACCAGCCACTGTGTGAAACATGAAGCTCTCTTGCTTTGAGAGAGGCCAAATCATTTAATGGCTGGATTTAGCTTTACTAAGAATCAACTTTCTAAGTGGGAGAAGAAAATCCCTCTGGTGTCTGAAAGCACAGCTTTTACTGGGGGAGGTGGAAGAGAGGATTTAGCAATGCCATGGTTATTAAGGGCCTGGGTTGCAGCTGGAGTTGGGGTGCTGCAGCCAGCAGCCTCCAGTCTGGCAGTGCAGGGAGGCTCCCTGGGGCTGGGGGAGGCACTGTCCCATGGGCTGGCTGCCTGGTCCCAGCTGCTGTGAGGTTTGTGGTCCTTGTGCACAGCACCTGTCAGCTCTGGCACCTGTTGTGTGCTCACAGCCATCGCCTGTGCCTGTTGTGCTGGGAGCTGTGGGAGTGCTGTGTGACCACAGTGTGCTCTGCAGCCCTGGGGGTACAAACCCATCTCCTGCAGAAACCAGGGGGTTCTCCCTGAGCTGCCCACCCTGCAGGAGGTATGTCTCACGTGAGAGGATTGTCTGTGCAGGTGCCTCCCACGTGTGTCCGCACGCGCAGGAACTGCACTCTGTGGTTTAGCACCTTGTTTTATTACAAAGATAGGCTTTGCCAGGAGTCTGCCACTTCCACTACACAGCAGGTAAGGGCACTACACCCACAACACGTGCCAAAGTTTAAAAACATGTTACAAAGGGCTCGGGGGTTCAAAGCAACACTACAAACCCTCGAGCTTTTGCTGTCGAAGTTGTTCCTTTAAATGGTTGTAGCAACTACTTTTTTTATTTTTCTCTCGCTTTGGAAAATAATTAAATAATAAAGCAATAACCTCAATACACAGCCCAGTCACAACACCTGGAGGCAAACTCTGCTTGCTCTCTGCTCACCTATAGCCTTTCCCTGTAACAACATGGGGCTATTGCCCCATGGCCCTTTTCCTTCCTCCAGCCAAGCTCAACGTCCTCTGCTACCTCAGTCCTTCTCGCCCTTGCCTTCCCTGTGCTGGGCCAGCCTACATCTCTGGCAGCTATTCACAGTTTCTAAAAGAGAAAAAAAATTCAAGACTTTTGTGAAATCACTTTCAAAATAAAATGTAGCCCAGCTACATTCTTAGAGTTTCTATTCTGAAGCCACATCCTCAGCAAAGACATTGAAACCTCCACAGTGTAAGTACTTCTGTAGTTCTCTTTAAAAAAAAAAAAAAAAAATCTCTGTTCTTCCCCTCCCCTCCCTCCCCTCCCCTTTTAACATACTGGATAAAGTCTATCGTTTGTTTTAAAATAGATATCTATGTACACATACACAACTCTGATGTTCTGTTTTTCTGACAAATGTGGCATTACTGGAAACGATGGGATGGAGACCACCTGTCCATGGCAGTGAGTCACCCAGGAGGAGTTCTCTTGGACAAAGTCATCTAACACCAGGCTGCATCCTCGCCAGCTGGATGAGTAACAGAGGCTCCCCTTACACCCTCCTGCAGTGAGGTAGTAACTTTTTCTTTGTTTCTTTCCTGTTTGGCAGTTTGAGCTGTGGTGGGTTCGCCCCGTGCCAGGAGCTGTTGTCCCAGTAGGAATGTTGGCTGTGTCCAGCCTCTACAGAGGGGCCTGCGTGGCACTGGAGACCAGAGTGGTCACAGCTCCCTGGGCTGCAGGAAGAACAGGACACCAAGCTGGGGTGGGGGTTTGCCCCACTGCAGGTGCACTGGGGTTTCTAGACTCAGCTGAGCTCCATTTGTCTGCCAGTGGGACCCTCTCACTGACCCCAGCCTGAGCCTGGGACACTGCCTTAGTTTGCAGCTCAGGATGTTGGAGCTGCTCCACTGGCCTATGTCAGCACCGGGCTGCCACGGGATGGTCCAATCCCTCTGCCTCCAAGGGCCAAAATCAGGCTGGCCACGCAGCCAAGCCCTGCTCTTGGCTGCTCCCAGGTGCCAGCCATGGGGCTGGACCTGAAGTGAGCAGAACAAGCAGCTTGAGGAGGACACTTCTGCAGCACCGACCTTGTGTTTGGTGATGGTCACAGGGAGAGGCAGAGGGAGGGAGAACGCTACCTGGGGCTTGCCCTGTGCGTGCCTCGAGGCCACGGTCAGAGTGCTGTCAGCAGGAGCTGGCCCTGCTGGCGTGAGCGGCGTTACAGGGCTGGGGCTGTGCAGTGCCATGGACATGTGCAGCCAGGCCAGGAGGGACAGGCACTTCCCTCACCTGCTGCACCTGATCTGGGCAGGACCATGACCAGCTGGCTGAGTGGTGGGCTGTTCACCTACCCCCCTGCACCTCCAGCTCACTGTGCATGAGAGATGAGAACCTGGGGAAGGGGGAACAGCCCTCCCCACACTAACATGGAACACGCTCCCTCCAGCTCCCAAACAGCTGTCTCCACTGGGGTTAAAGTGCTTTCACCATGCCTTAGCTGCTTGGGAAGCAACTGCTTTGTCTCAGCCCCGAGTTCCCCCTGTCGCCCGAGTCTCAGATGGAGGAGTGGTTATGTTTACACATACAGTACAAAAATTAAAAGGCACAAAAATACACAGAATGCAGCAGATAGTGAACAGCTGATAGAGTCCCTGGTGTTGGAAAAACAAGGATGTCGGAGGGATGATGTAGAAGGCAGCTCAGACGTTGCTCCAATGGCCTTTGCTGTCTCTGCTCGTTACTCCCTGAGGTGACCCTTCTGCTTTGTCTGTTGTTCCAGCCTCTGCAGCCTCATCCCTTGTCCTGAGGAACCGCACACAGGGATGCAGAACGCCGACCGCTCGGGCGCCGACCAGAGGGAAGTGGTGAGCTGAACTTGCCACAAGTGTCATGCCTCCATTTCTGGCTGGCAACAGCAAATAAATTACGGGTGCCACAGTGCAGACCAGAGGAGTTTGAGCTGTTCAGAAAGGTGTCTTGTGGCTTCTTGTGAGGTGAGAGAGCCCTTCAGCCACGGCCAGGCCCACCCCCACCAGGTGGCTGGTTTGAGGATGACCACGGTGTGCCTGCGGAGAAGGCAGGGTCCCTGTGGCGCTGCGCTGTGGCAAAGGTCACTTCCAGGCCTGCAGCCAGCCTAGGCCTCACTGCAGCACTCGTAGATGTTATCCTCCATGAGCGCGATCACCTGCTCGAATTTGTGCTGCAGCTGCGTGCGCTTCGTCGTGGGGTTGGCGTCCAGGGCGGCCACGATCTGCGGGAGACACGGCCAGGTGGGTGGCTGAGGCAGTGTGGGGGAGCCTGAATCCCAGCCAGACTCCAACAGGGAGAGCCCCTGCACTCACCCCTGCTGTCCTAGGGCACGGACAGGTCCCTGCTCAGGGCTGGGAGAGGAGGGGAACGGGACTGAAACTCACTGCAGTGATGGAGCTGAAGGTGCAGTGAGGCAGGAGACAGCCAGGGCTGCTGGTTTGGTGAGTGCAAATTATTTTAAAGGGAGACTCTTTCTGCATGCCCTGCCCTCCTGAAAGCATCTGTGGGTCTACATGTCAGGCAGCCCTGCTTCAGGCTGGGCCAGCCAAGTGCCATAAAACCAGCTGGGAAGAGCTGGCCTTCTCCTCCAAGGAGTCTCCAGCCGAGGGATGGAGAGCAGGTGCATCTGTGTGTGCATCTATCACATAGGTGCTGGGATAATGCAAATCCTGACAGCCCCAGTGCTGTGGGACTGGATGCAGGCTGCTGACCACGGGGTGCCTCAGTGCTGATTCTCCCTGTCCAGGCACACCAGGGCCAGAAACCCACTCACCTGGGAGCGATATCTCTTGGCATACTTGTATATCTCAGCCATGGCGACGTTGGTGTTGAACTCATTCCGGTATTTCTGTATGAAGATAGAACAACGAGGAGAGAATATTAAGGGGATGCAGCATGTGAGTTCAGCTCAGCCAGCAGGCACTGACTAGATTAAAAATGGGTTTTGCCTGGGTAATTTTGTTACCATTGCATTAGTGCAGCTGGATTTTTTACTTCCTCCTTTAAGGAAGGTACATGTGCTTACATCAGGAAGGGGTTTGATCTTTTCAAAGCCAGACTTAAATACTCACACTGGGCAGCACTGCTTACCCTAACCCAAAGCCATTTCACAGGAGGGGACAGCACATCAGCTGGGCTGGGAATGTCGACAGAAAAATCCCACTCAGTGCCTGAAGCTGGAACACCGTGGGGAGGTGGTTTGATTTTGAGGAATCTGTGGTGCATTGCTGGCAGGACTCTGATCCAGAGCAGGGCTGCCAGCTCCGTGGCTGGTACCAGGGCTGGCTGCCAGTGGCTGCCACGGGACTTGGGGCTGGTTGTGCCTGGGGGCCAGTTGGCTGGGTGGCTGTGGGACTGCAGAGATCCTTGTCCAAACTTCCTGGCTTTTTGGCACTGAATTTCACTCTCAACTCCCCGTGGTGCCAGAGCTAGTTAGGCTCAAGCGAACTCGTGGGTGTTTACTGCAGCTCTGGCAGTAATTGAACATGCTTGGAATTAGGTCAGATGAAGTTTGTGTGTGGAAGTTTGAGGCAAATTATCCTTTCTGGTGTGCTCCTTGCAGCATCCAAGCAGTAGCTGTTAGCTTATCTGCATTCCCTACTGCTCCCAGACCCCAGCAGCACGGCGAGGCTGCAGCTCTGACCCCGTCCCCTCTTACCCGCGACTCCTCGGCCAGGTGTGCGTTCATCTCCTGCTCGCTCAGCGGGGGCATGTCGTGGATCTGCTTGTAGTATCGCTGCACTATCTTCCTGTACTCAGGGATCTCCTTGGCATACAGCAGTTTGTTGGTCGGGGAGTCCTAGAGCGAGACACCGAAATCAGGCACCGTGTTGTTCCCGGAGGAAAACTTTCTCCTGCTTGCCTGATCAAAGCACTGACTGTCCATCAGACAGGACTGCAGCTACAGCTGGGTGCAGGGAACAGCTTTGCCCTCGGTCCTGGCTGTCACCAGACAGGAGTGTGGTGGGATGGCACCAAACAGAGGGGCTCAGACACATCAAGGATCTGCGGGTGGGCACCACGTCCCTGCAGCACTGTCCCACTGCCCTTTGTCCCAGCACGAGCTGAATGTGTCAGCTCAGTGCCAGACAAGGGGGTGGTGGGAGTGTGTTTTAATTTGCAGCAAGGGCAGGCTAAAAGCACACCCAGGGTCAGGCAGGGTGGCTTGCTGCCAGGTGATGCTCTGCAGGTGAGGTAGCATGCCTGTGCCAGATCAAACACTTGTGCTCTTTGGAGCGGTGTGTGGAAATTGGCAACAAGGGAAGGGCTTCTGCATGCATTTGCTGGGGTCTCTTGAGCAGCCAGCCTGATTTAAACCAAAGAACAAAGCTATCTTACAAGCTGAACTTTGTCAGTTGAAATGTTGCTCTTGGATTTTTCATGTAGCTTTGATTTATTTTGCATTGGCTAACCCAGCCTGCCTGGCCTAAATTGAGTGCACGTAGAGTAATTAACAGAGAATCCAGAGTTCTCTTGATTAATGTCAGCTTGGACACGGCAGCCTTAACCTTCCAGCCACACAATGGGGTTGTATCAGTGGAGGCACAACCCTGCTGCTCTCCTTACAAACACAGCATGAATGATTTTAACCTCCAGGCAATCCTGCCCTGCTGATATCATTACCCTGGGAATGAACTTGGCTGACTGGCCTGGTGTTGCATCCCAAAGGGAATCCACCCCAGGCTCGGGACACCAAGGGGAGTGAGATCACCGTGTCCCACACTCCTCACTGCCCTGACAGGTGGAGGGAGAGGGACCTGCCGAGGAGATGTGTGGTGGGTCTGGCCCCAGGCAGCATCCTGGGCTGTGTCAGGCAGGAATAGGGGAGCCTGAGGTGACTGCAATCTGCTGCTGCAATCTGTAGTGTGGCTAATGCTGCGGGGGAAACGGGAAACGGGCACCAGGCTGTGGCACCAGATCCCACAGCAGTTTATTTTCAAACCCAGTGACAAGGCATTACGGGAAGATGGCCAACACGCAGAGCCTGCTCACAGCAGGGTTTTTTTTTTTCCCCTTGGAAGCACAAAGGAAACCCATGCTGCCTCTTCTTAAAGTTATTTTTTAATTCGTGCCTGATTTGTCTGTATCATGAGGAAATGGGTACTGGTTTCTTAACTGCTTGTGCACTGTAGATGGACAGACTCTCACATTTGCAGTATGGAGAGCAACATGCTGAAACTAAGGGAAGAATCCAGCCTGGAAAACACTCAGGCAATACACTGCATGTCCATGCAAGCTGATTTTTATGCCGAGGATTTATTCTTCCCGCATTACTCAACAATTCCTTCACTTATGCTATTGTATTCCTGAAAAATGTTTCCATCTGCTGTCTGACTCCAGCTGACCCCTCTTCCCCTCATCCACTGCTTGACAAGGACAAATCGTAGGTGTTTCGTAACACATGCGGGAAAAAAAAGACTAAAACCCAAACAAACAAAAAATCAAATGCTCATTAGATCTTTCTCCAGCATTAACCTCTCCCAGCACAGGCTTCCTGCAGCGCTGGGGCTGGGGGCCAGTGCCCACCCCTCTCTGCAGGGTCCCCCACGTCACAGGCTGCTGCTGCCAGGATGGGGGGCGACTCGCAGCATTGCTTAATACAACTCGTTTGTGTCGGGAAGTTTCAAATGTCAACACTGCACTCAGCCAAGGCAGCAGGAGAACAGAGAGCAGAGAACATGCGTGTGGGACGTCCAGGGCCGCCAGCCCCGCGGGGCTGGGGTGGGAGAGGGACTTGGCCCGGGCAGGCTCAGCTCCCCTGTGGTGTGCCAAGCCCAGCATGCTCTGACCCTCCTCCAGACATGGCCAGAGTGGGGTGGAGATGCTGCACTGGAGGAGAGCACCAACTGTGGCAGTCAGTGCCTGCCAAGTGCCTCCCAGGTGCTGCTGCTGGTGTTGCTGGGATGGTCCAGGCACGACTCCAGGTGAGCCAGGCCTAGCCTGGGCAGGCACAGCCTGTGTTCCTGGAGAATCAGCTCACCTCCTGGGCTTCTCGCAGCTCTCCCTGGTGAGAGGCTCTACAGAAACCAGCAGCAGCAATGGCTGAAGCTTCACCTGGCACCTTGTCATTCTCCATCCCATCAGTGGGAGTTTTTGTTGTCTCTCAGCTGCTTTATGGGATCATTATGCTGATGGCATACCCTAAACTAGCCCTGGCTCGGGGAACTGGGCTCCCCTGCAGGGTCTGCCCATGCCCCATCCTGGTGCCCTGACCCCACCTGTGCTCATGTTTCTGCGTTATGCCCCTGCCTGAGCCAACAACAGAGAATATTTGTCTGCTCCTGCACCAGCTCAGCCTGGTCAGGAGACGTTTCAGACACCGTGCTGAGTCAGCGTGTGCTCTCTGGTGGCTGCAGGACAGCTCATGGGTAACCCTGAGCACACAGCCCTGTGGCTGGTCTCCCTCTATGCTCAGAGCCTCCAGTCTGGGCCCTGCCCTGTGTCCATCCTGCCTGTGACTGTGTCCCCCCTTCCTGGCTGCTGTTAGTGAACCTGGAGACAGCCAAACCTCAGCTGCAGGAGCCCAAGCAATGGCTCTAGCCAGCCCTGCTGTGGGGAGGTCAGGCTGGTGACCTCTGCCAGGCCCTGCCCACCAGAGTGGTCCGTGTCTGTGGTGTCCTGGCTGGACAGTACCTTGCCCAGCTGCAGGTCGGACAGGGAGCAGGCGTCGATGAAGGCCTGGGCAATCACAGACAGACAGGCATCGATGTGGTCAGTCTTGTCAATGTCGAAGACAAACTGGGGATTTTTCAGGATGTTGACCCAAAACCTCAGCGGCAGGCTGCAGAGGGAGAAGGGAGGAAATGCAGAAGAGATGATGATAGAAAGTGAGTAGTAGTGAGGAAAAACTGAGAACAGGTTCTGCTGTTTAATCACCCCATTACAGACCCCTGCCTCGACAGAGGGGCAGGCAGGTGCCTTCACTCTGGAGACAGTTCTTCAGGCTGGAGGCATGGACAGCTAGGCACACATATGGCCCTGCTCCTTTGGCAGCTCCCGAGGCAGCCACGGGCCTGGAGAGACACTGGCAGCTTTGCCTGCATGGGGTTGTTGAGTCAAGCTTCCCCACTTGCTGCTATTTGGAGCAATTGTGTCACCTCCTTTTCCCTTTTTCCCCGACAGTAACCATCATCTGGTTCTGATGGTGAGCCTGGGCCTGTGAAATGCATTTCATCTGGGTTTTTTTCTGCTCTGTCATCATTTTCTCCTCCAGTTATTTCACTGCTCATTTGGCCACAACACGGCTTCAGACTGTTGCTTGCCCTTCCTACCATCCCTTTTCGGCAGCTGAGCAGCAAAAGCCACTGTAAGTCTTTGCTCTACAGGCCAATGAAGCTAGTGAAAGGCAGGCAGATCTGCAGCCCAATGGCTGTGTCTGCATGCCTGCTCTCCCAGCCAAATTTGGTTTTAATTTTCACACATTGGGCTGGAAACAGTTACTGTTCCTGCAGCATCAAAAGCTCTGAGCCTCTCCTCGATGCTCCCTCCAAACTCCCTGCTCTCCTTGGTTAAATCCTCTGGTTTCTCCCCTGCTCTATTTCCCCTTCTCTGTGGCTCCCCACCCCCTTCCTG